GAATTTGTGTTTCCGGGGCTATCAGAGTAAAATAATTTATTGTTTATTACCAAATACATACATAATACAAATCACTCTATGGGAATCTCCACCCATCCTCCCTTCAAGGTTCCAGAGAAGTGTAGAAATGAATGTCAGATTTAACTCTATTGAGTCAAGCAGTTGAACATTCTAGCTAAAAATTCTGGAGCTGGATGGTGGTTATGGTTGTATAACAGTGTAAACGGACTTAATGCCACTGAGCAATACCTTAAAATTTACCATCTTAACCATTTTTATGCTATATGTATTTACCACGTGAAATATGGACTTAGCAGCCTAGGATCTAGGGCTTTAAAATCAGGCTTTGTCATATATTGGCTGTTGGACCCAGGGCATGATATTTAGCCTCACTGAGGATAGTTGACTTATCTTGCTATGGGCGGTATCCTACTACATACTAAATATACTGTAGTAGTTTCTTCTCAGTCTGGGAAAGAGGGCAGGCTGGATGAGTGGTGGACTTTCTGGAACAGAGCAGGCAGACAGGGTGGAGGCCTGGATTGGTACATGGGAGGGTGATGGGGGATCAACTGCTTTCCTAAAGGGTGGGCACTTGGTCAGAACTCAAAGTCTGTAGGTAGGTGACTAGCATTCTACTAGGGTTTGTTTCCTTTAATCTGGAATATAACTTTTTTTTTTTTTTTTTTTTTTTACTCTCAGAAAGGAATCTTAGACATCATGCTAGTTTATCCCTTCATTTTACCTGTAAGAAGGCTCAGGTCCAGATAGCCAAGGGACTTACCCAGGTTTGTGCAGGAGCAGAAGTGTGATGAGAACTTAGGATGCCTGATTGCACTCCCCCACCATTTTTAAGGCTCACTGAATGTTGGGCATTTTTGACACAAATTTGGTTAAGTCAAGGTTCTTACTCTCAAGAACTTGCCATTTTTTCTTCCTCGAGAGAAAATACATGAATTAACTGTAATAAAAAGCACTAGGATAAAATCCACTATGATAAAGGGGCTGGAATGGAGATGTGAATGACAGAAGGGGGCACAGTGAGGTCCATTTGGAAGAAGGTAAAAGGCATCACACTTGAACCAGCATCTCTGTGGTTATGGTGGCATTAAGGAGGCACCCTCTTGGTTGGACACCATTTGGCCGGATAGTGGGGTGCATGTATGCACACATGTGTGTGTCTATCTGTCTGGGCGAGGCAGGAGAGTCCAGGTAGAGTCAGCACAAGTAGGAACATCTTGGAAAAGGACTTCGTCTTTGGTAACAGGCCTGTGTTTGAAATCCTGCTCTCCCCTGTACTAATTTTGAGCAAATAATTTGCCTACTCTGACCTCCGATTAACTCATCTGTAACACAGGGTTAAAAAAAAAATGACTGGAAGGGTTGTTGGGAGGTTTTCATTGGAAAATACATACCCAGAATATTAGTGATTTATATGAGAAGGAAAGGTCTCATTTATACAAATATATGTGGTTGAATGACATCCCTGTGACCTCTCCTGCCTTGCAGATTTTCAGTGTCTAGTGTGGGGGGTTGGTGTTGGTTCTGCGAGTTCTCCAAGGCAAGGAATACTCATAGGGTTTCCCACAGTCCCTAGGATAGAACTCTGCTCTCTGTATGGGAAAGAGGTAGTTAGGAATACCAGGCCTGGGGCCCTTTCTTTTGAACTATCCTGTGCTTTAGACTTCTCGGTTTTGCCTGGTTGCAGATTGAAAGCATCAGAACGAATAACTGTGTGTGTTAACTTATTCATCTAAAAAAATTCTTGAATCTAGGTGCTCAGAGCTTTCTATAGTGTGAAGGATGATGGTGGTTCAGTTTGTAAATATTAGGTGGTCCACTTTAGTGTGTCCCTGCCTGGGAACCATATGAGGTGGGGTGGAGCTGCTAAGGGTCCTCTGGGGTGACGAACATTTAGCTGTAGGGAGGCATAATCAGTGTTAGATCTTTGCTACTCGCCATGTGGCCCCTAGGCCAGCAGATGGCATCATCTGAGAGCTTGTTGGAAATCTAGAATCCCAGGCCCCATCCCAGAGATAAGAATCTGGGCCAGAATCTACATTTTAGCAAGATGTGTAGATGATTTGTGTGCACACCGAAGGTTGAGAAGCACTGATACGGAACATGGGATGTGGATGACCGTCCCTTGGAGTTCAGTCTCCCCTTTGTGGAGGAGCCGTCCTGGTTCTGTCTGGCTAGAATGTATCCCCCAGTCTATGACTCACTTCGAGAACTGAAGAATAGTTTTCAAATTGACTAAGAATTGCAGGGTCGAGAAAGGAAATGGGGAAGGAACAAAATATGAAAAAATTGTTCTTGATTTGGGGCTCTACCATTTGCCTTGAATTGTGTGATTGAACTCAGCTTCTGTAAAGTTTTTGCCTATAAAAGCAGGCGAGTCAACATTTTTCTTACCCAAATCATTAACCACTAGTTATTGGCCATCTTGTTCTGTTCATTGGCTCAGCTTTTCTGTCCAGTTATTTCCTGTAGGTAAATATTTTAAATGGAGAAGGACAGACAGGAGAGAAATGTTTTTATTTCTTTTAAATGGATATTTTCTGAAAAGGAATTAATGATGAAAGACTGTAATTTTTGTTGATGGGGTTTAACCAGCACAGGGTGTTCAGTAATCCTGGGCCTTTTGGTGGAACATAAAGGTCTTTTTGGTTTCTTATATTTTATGAGATATCATTTTTCTGCTAAAAAATTAAAGTTGGAAAAGTTTTGAAGCATAGGTAAGCCTGGGGTTCTGAATTTTAAGTGTAATTCTTAGTGTTTAAGAACATTATATTTAAAAAGGTAACATGTTGGAATATTTTTGAGGAGGAGGGAATTAAAAAAAATTTCAAGCTTGGCTTTCAGTGTTTTTACTTTTATCCTTGTTACAAAAATGGCATTTTCCTAGCATGACATCATCACGTGACCTTTGAGCCTGTTTGCCTTTATTTAGTTAATTTACTCTCCACTAGTTTGAAATTTTTGAGATGGGGAAACGAGCTTTGGACCGGGGTCAAGAGCCAGGTCAAAGGTTGGAGTTCTCTGCTCTGCTGCTGCCTTGGCTGTGGGGCATGGGCATGTCCTGGGCTCTGATATCGTCATCTCTGAATGGAAGGAACTGGACCAGATCCATGATTTTAATGGGGATGGGGGCTCTATGAGCAGGTTGTGTGTGTATCAGGATCTTGAATGTGGAGAACAGATGTTATTTGATAATGTCAATACTGTATTTATTTGGAAAATGGAAAAAAATATTTAAACAAGTGGCACCATGTAAAGCATGATACAGTCTTGCTGGATAGCATAGGATGGGAGTACATGGGACTAACAGTTAGTGCAGGTAACAATTTTTAGTGAGTGCGGCGTGCCAGGTACTGTTTTAAACTTTTGGTATATATATGTTCTCATTTAAACTTCACAAACCCCGGGGCACCTGGGTGACTCATCAGTTAAGCATCCAGTTCTTGATTTTGGCTCAGGTCATGATCTCGTGGAGCCTGCTTGAGATTCTCTCTCTCCTTCTCTGCCCCCACCACGCTCTCTCTCTGTCAAATAAATCAACAGATCTTTAAAAAACAAATAGCAAAAAGCCCTCACAAACCCCTAGATCAGTAATGTTATCATATGAGCAGATAGAACAGAAAGGTAAAGCATCTCGTTTGAGATATCATAACCAGTATACGGGTAGATCTGGGATCTAAACCAAAACAAGTTTGCAACTTTGGCTGCTAGGTTTCCTGCCTCTGTATTCACAGTCTGATAGGAATCAAGATAAATTCTATCTACAGTTTACCTTCTGGAAAAAGAGTTTTGTAATATGTGTAATTGTATGAAATTGCCCCTCAATCCTCAGATGTAAAAAAAAAAAAAAAAAGAGGGCGCCTGGGTGGCTCAGTTGGTTAAGCGACTGCCTTCGGCTCAGGTCATGATCCTGGAGTCCTGGGATCGAGTCCCACATCGGGCTCCCTGCTCAGCAGGGAGTCTGCTTCTCCCTCTGACCCTCCCCCCTCTCATGCTCTCTATCTCTCATTCTCTCTCTCTCTCGGATAAATAAAATCTTTAAAAAAAAATAAAAAAAAAAAGAAAGAAAAATCACATATTTTCCTTTAAATCCAATTAAAGATCTGTTGGCAGACTGGTGAATTGTTCAGTATCAGTAGCACTAGGGGATTCCTTCCCCACCCACACAATTTGGCTAGAAAATCCTGAGGATCTCAGATCCCCACTTTATCATGGTGGTGCCAAGATGCTCACTGGCCAACCCTGCATTGCCCATTTTAGAGTGGCCAATCACTGTTTATTCCTTCCATATGCACCTTGGCCACCATGATCTCCCTGGGGCTCCTGAGGCCAAACCAAGGCTTTTGGGTGTTAGTTCCCAGCTGTTCACCTGTTCAGTCTTGCCAGAAGTTTTCACCTGCCTGGTACAAGTCCAGACACAGGGTGTTAATGGACACACAGCTTCCTGAAGGGAAAGGAAGCATATCTCTCATTCTTTCATCCTAATCCTATGGGGAATTGGTTAATTTCTCTATCAAATTATCCTCCTGCCTGAAATGACAGCAAGATTTAACGCGATTGACCTTAAGCAATTTTATTAGCATCCAATTTGCATTTCTCTTGTTCGCGTGGCAAACCTGAGATAACCTCAATTCATTGCTTGTACTATCTCTGTGACACTGGGTACATGAATTGAATTCTTTAAACCTCTGTTTCATCTCTTATAAAATGGGAATAATAATGGTTTCTGTTCCACAGAGGGTCCTCGGGGATCCACTCTGACCAGGTGCTTATTTGGAGAATGGCAATGAGACCAGCCAAGCTGGAGGGAAGAGTCCAAGTGGGTGGGGCTGTGGTGGCACTCGGGCTGGAATGTATAAATGCCATCTTATGGAGTTTGGAGTCACATTGGCCTTCTTTCTGGTTGTTTTATTGACTGGAGTTTGTGTTCTAAGAGGTTCGAAAATCCCTCTGATTAACTCCTGTTTCGGCCTATTTAGGACCCGACCGACTTTGAGTGGAACTTCTGGATGGAATGGGGCAAACAGCGGCTGGTGCAGTTTCTGTTTGGCCACGTGGCTGTGTCTCAGCTGGCCAACATGCTTGCAAGGAAGGTATGATTATGTGCCTTATTTCCTTTTAAGCTGCTTTCTTTGCTTTTTGAGAGGAAAGAGTCCTGAACTGGGAATCAAGAGATGCAGTTATTAGCCTTGGATGCCTGGAAAAGATGAGAAAGACTTGCTGATGATCAATAAGACATTTATGATAAAGGTTTCATACATTCTTATCCTGTACTGGCTTCCTCCAAGTTATTTTTAAAACTATCGAATATGAAAGTTTTAGAATAAAACTAACTACAGATGGTGCTAAGATCATACCCAATCAAATGATCTTATTAAAACAAATGCTTGTTGAGGACCTGTGATTTCTCATACAAATTCAGAAGAAAGTAGAGTGAATGATATCATTAAATGGGAATAATTTTAATGTCAAATAATTTATGCCACGGTAGCTGTTGTAGATCAGAATTCCAGTAGTATTTTTTATTCTTACCCTGGCCTGGAGTGGAGAACAAGGGCTACTTCAAAGGGCGTGTTTGAGAATTGCTTTTGCATGCAGGAGGATTGAAAGCCTCTTGATATGTTTAGCTACCAAGGGATCTGAGATCCTACCAGGAGGATCTTTCTGTAGTGGAGGGGCAGACTTTGTCCAGTGTCCTCTGCTATATGCTTCTTGACTCTGTAGATTCCTAATTTGAAAAAAATGAGTCTCTGCTTGGAATCTACGTAGTAAAGACAATAGAACCAAAAACTGACTTGGAAGTCAACCCACAAAAAATGTTTGATCCTTAGAGGTTCATGGAGGTGAAGAACCAGAAGAAGCAGGAGCCTCTGGGCAAGAGACACCAGAATGTGAGACCAAGAAAACAAGACGTGCCATGTGGTTAGAGAAGTGAACCTGACTTGGGCTATTTTTTAGCTGTTTCTTGAAAATTGGTACTTTTTAGGCTTACTTCTCATCCTGGAAGATAGAAAATCCCAATGGCACATTAACTTTCTTTGCTTTAAATATGATATTGACTACTTTTTGTACTCAAGTGGTTTCCATCTTCTAAAATGGTGAAAATGAAAATCATTACTGTCGAATCATTGCTGTCAGATCTTCATACATTAAAACACTTCCTAGGATTTTCTAAGCAGACCCAATAATAAATAATACATGTTTGGGGTATCCCTGGCTAGTAGGGATTATATAGGTACCCAAGCCCTCATTAATGGGTTTCTTTTCTTCCACACATTTCTGTTTGGTGTTTTTTTTTTTTTAAGAGTTCAAGTTTTCTAGAAATTTAATATTTATTTGTTTAACCAAGATTTCTCTGCCCATAGGTAAATGACTTTGCCCCTATATCTCTCTTTTCCCATATGTAAAATGAATAGCATAATACCTGTCACTTTTACTTTGTGAGTGGAAGGTGAAATGTCGAGGAGGATTTGTGAAATGTGTCCAATCTTACTACTACTGCTGTGGGTAAGGGTCCGTTGTGGTGTAGCAGAAGAGTACTTGGTGGTGTATTAGGTCCTGGGCTTTCTCACTGATTAGCTTTATAACTTTAGGAAAGCTTTTCACCACTGAATTTTAATTCATCAATTTTCTGTAGAGTAGGGATGGTGAGACAGTACTATTCCTTTTTTAACCCCTTAAAAAATGGGGAGCTTCATCTGTTAGAAATGTCATTGAAAAGTAAGGGTGAGGGCACCTGGGTGGCTCTGTTGGTTAAGCATCTGCCTTCAGCTCAGGTCATGATCCTGGGGTCCTAGGATCGAGTCCTGCATCAGGCTCCCTGCTCAGTGGGGAGCCTGCTTTTCCCTCTCCCTCTGCCCCTCCCCTCTGCCTGTGTGCTCTCTCTCTCTCTCCCCCAAATAAATAAATAAAATCTTTAAAAAAAAAAAAAGTAAGGGTGAAACATGGAAAAGGGTGAAACATGGAAAAAACATACAAAAGAAATGGCAGATAAATGCAAATATATCAGTAATCACAATCCATGTAAATGGACCTAATCCCCACCCATATCCCCCAGAAAAAGATTGTCAGACTGGATAAAAGAAAAACAGAAATAAAGGAAAATAAACAAAGAAATAAAAACAGAGTCCTGAGATATGCTTCTTAGCAAGATCTACTTAAAATGGAGGGACATGGAAAGTTTGATAGTAAAAGGATGGGAAAAGATGTTCCAAGCAAATCTAAGACTCTCTTCTCCCCTGGTACAGTTTTATCAATGGCTGGCAAAGAGCATTATTAGAGACAAAGAGTTTTATTGTTTAATGATAAAGAGTTAATTGGGAGGGTGCTCTAATTCTAAGTTTGTTTGCTTTAAGATATATAATGCAAAGTTGATCAGTACCGTAAAGATAGATAAATATATGATTATAGGGAGAGATTTTTCTTTTAAGGTTTTATTTATTTATTTGAGAGAGCGAGTGCCAGAGAGCACGAGTGGGGTGAAGGGCAGAGGGAGAAGCAGACCCCCCGCTGAGCAGGGAGCCCGATGTGGGTCTCAGTCCCGGGACTCCAGGATCATGACCTGAGCTGAAGGCAGTCGCCCAACTGACTGAGCTACCCAGGTACCCCTATAGGGAGAGATTTTAACATAACTGATGGCTAATTGATAGATCATGTAGAAAAAACAAGGAAAAAATAATAAGCTTGATATAAGAAATATATGTAAATTGTTACACATAACAACTAGAGAATTCATACTCTTAAAGAATACAGAATATTTATAAAAATTAACCACATATGGGGTTGCCTGGGTGGCTCAGTCATTTAAGCATCTGCCTTCAGCTCAGCTCATGATCCCTGGGTCCTGGGATTGAGCCCCACTTTGGGTTCCCTGCTCAGTGGGGACTCTGCTTCTTGCTCTTCCTCTCCCTCTGCCCCTCTCTCCCTGCTCGTGTTCTCTCTCTCTCTCTCTCTGTCTCAAATAAATAAAATCTTAAAAAGTTAATCATATATGGATCATAAATTTCAACAAATTTCAAAGTATTTTCAACAAAATTTCAAAGTATGTGTTTTATATAGGTTACCCTCTTTAATCCCAGTGCAGTTAAGTTTGGAAACCAATAACACAAGATGACCTGAAAACTCTAATTCATTTAGAAATTAAAGAGAACATATTTTTAAATAACTTGTAGGTCAAAAAAGAGATCGTACTAGAAATTAGAAAATAGTTAGAAATGAATGAAAAAGATGTGACATATCAAAATTTGTAGGTGTGGCTAGAATGGTACTTAATTGGAAATCATAATCTTATATTAAAAAAGCAGGAAGGCTGAAAAATAATGAACTAAGCATACAACTTAAGTTAGGACAGAATAGAAGGAAAGGAAGGAAACAACAAAAATAAGAGCAGAAATTAATAAAATAATCAGTGGCAATATTGGTCAAGGAAAAAGAAAGTGCACAAATAAGCAGTATTAGGTATGGAAAAGTTGATGAAAAAATATAGTAAGAGGATATTTTGCTAGCTTTACACCAAAAATCTTGAAGACTTTAGCAAAGCAGACACATTTCTAGAAAATACAACTTACTGAAACTGACTCATGAAGAAAGAGACCACATTGTGCTATCACCATGAAAAGAAATTGAATCACTAGTCAAAAATCTATTTGTAAAGAAAACACTAATAATATACCAATTCTGCCAAAAATCCAAGACACAAATGGCTTAAATCTTTCCCACTTTTTCAGAAAAGAGAAAAAGAGGGAGCCTACCTTTTATGAAAATAGTATAAAATTGATACCAAAATCAGAGGATATGCCCTACCAGTTATTATGACTTATAAAGATACGATAATTAGGACATTGTTGTATTGGCGCCAGGGTAGACAAGTAGACCAGTGGAACAGAATGGAGTTTAGAAAACACCTGTGTATAGATGGAAACTTGTTTTGTGACAGAATTAGCATTTTGGATCTGTGTGGAAAAGATGAAGTGTTCAATAACCAGAGGTGACATAGTTGTTTAGCTATGTTAAAAATAAATGCACACTTATCCTTTTTTTTTTTAAAGATTTTATTTATTTGAGAGAGAGAGAGCACATGAGAGGGGGGAGGGTCAGAAGGGGAGGCAGACTTCCTTCTGAGCAGGGAGCCCTTTGCGGGACTCGATCCAGGGACTCTAGGATCATGACCTGAGCTGAAGGCAGTCGCTTAACCAACTGAGCCACCCGGGCATCCCCACACTTATGATTTTCAAGGTAGATTAAGGACTTACAGTGAGAAAGTATATCATTTTTAGAAAGTGTGAGGTAGTGTATCTGTTAATGTTAGGGTTGAGAAAGAGTTCTTAAGACACAAAAAGTACAAATTGTGAAGGAAAAAATTGATGTTTAACTACATTAAAATAACTTGTCAGTGTATAATCATGTGTAATCATCAGTGTATAATTGTGTACATCTTTGGATGTATCCAAAGAGACAATGAAGAAAGTGAAAAAACAAGTCACTAATAGGTCATTTACAAGCTGACAGAGGATTAGTATTTAGAATACATAAAGAAATTTCCTAAGAAAAAGACAAATCACCCAATAAAAAATGGCTCAAGATGTGCAAAGGAATTTGCAGGATAGGAAACATAAATGACCAGTAAACTTAGAACACATGTTCAACTTTATTAGTAATCAAACAAATGCATCTTCAAACTCTATCATTTCATACTTTCCAGTGGAGCAAAGACAAACTCCTGATTGTATCAAGTAATGGCTACCTGAACTCACACGGAGAGCTTGTGAATATATATTTTTCTTTGTAATACAAAGAGGTGCATAGCCCGTAGCTGCAGCGCTAATTCTTTTTTTTTTTTTTTAGGAGAAAATATTTGCAACATGTATTGTTTTTTTAATTATGACCAAATGGGATTTATTCCAGGAATGCAAAGTGGCTTAACATGTAAAGATTACATCAACATATTAATATAATTAACCATATTAGTTAATTAACCATCTACTAATATGGTTAATTATATCAACACGTCAATGTGATCTTTTTTTATTATTATTATGTTATGTTAATCACCATACATTACATCATTAGTTTTTGATGTAGTGTTCCATGATTC